TTCACCCGGAGCTCCGGAGCTCCGTCATAGTGGGTTCTTGCTGATTTGGGATCATTTGGATCCATTCCCCAATCCTTGGACTCCTCGAGTGTAGAGCCAGGTCGATCCCCAGCCCAGACACGACACATGGGAATGGGATATATGATATATAGATCCCAGACACTCCATGTCTGTCATGTGTGCCTACATTGACCCCTCAAACAAGGTCGCAATTCGAATGTGGGCAGGTATGTAAAGTACGCGAGAAAATATGAGTTGATTTTGTTACATGACACTAGTGTACCCGGTGTACCCATCACTTACGAATGACCACCCGTCATATGGTGAAGAACGCAAGTAGGACAGGTCAATAGGGTGGCACACTTAGCTGAGACTGTGGCAGATGCTTTTTGTCGATCCTCGGCTTTGCAATATGAGCGTTCACAGAATCGAACCATGAGGCCTGTAAAGTCCTCAGCAGCAAGTCGCCCCCTGAACCATGAGTTCATTGGCCCTCCCCGTTTTGAAGGCAGAAGGCTTCAACGTGACTGGGTGTGATTTGTTCAAGCTTGCTATGACACCTTGGTGGAGGATCCAGAGGCGTTGAAAGCGCACCGAAAGGTCAGTCACTTCAAGGAAGGCCATGTCCAACCAGGACTCTTGGTGATGTTTGAGAAGTTGATGGTCACTGCTAGTACATACTCTGCAAGTGCGTAGTGTGCGCCTGCGGTGCCGAGCTCAGCTCAAGTAGCTGGTTGCGTGCGGTCGCTGCAGGCAGCGGCAGCTGGCAGCCGGAAGCGGCTCACGTCAGCCCTGACCCATGGCACACTTCAAGGGTTACGATACCCGAGCCCGGAGTGATTTCTACAGATACAAAACTTGAGTCAGCCTGTCAGCCTGAGCGCATACTCTCTGATTTGCTCGTTTTTTCTCAGTGCGTGTTCACGACGTGCTGGTTCGGTCTGCATGTTGCCCATATGATTCTGCTTGCACCGTGTCGACTGCATAGGTCCCGGCGGTGACAGCGCTTGCTTGGGCCGTCGTTGGTGAGGCGCAGCAACCAAACCCTGCACAACGCCTGGCAGCGATGGCGTTGGACAAAGCACACACTGTCAAGGAGGAGCCTGTCATAAAGTCGACACGAAACGTTGACGGGGTCAGAAAGGCCTCCAACGACAATGGACATGGACGGAACCTGAGCCCTCACCTGAAGTCATCACTATAAGAACAAACCTCGACATGGGATAGGCAGTTCGTGCAGTTCTGCACGGGCAAATCCTAGACTTGCGAAACTGCAAGTCGAGCGGGGTGAACGTGAAGGCACTTGACGAGATCATAGCCATCATCCTTTTGTGCGATAATGGTCCTATTCTTGTTTAATGCCTACGCGCTGTTTGGTTATGTTTGGCAGACCTTCACAACATGTGCAGGCCCCGCGTACAAACATGCCGCTCGAGGACATTGTTGCTGCACTGCTTTGTCAAGCCAACTGACGGGATATGCCGTCTGGGCGCCCACCTTATGTACCCTGCTCCTGGTTCTTCAAGGGCCTGACATAGGACCGCAATGTCCACGATGAGCTTCCGGTCTGTTGGAGCGTTGTCCGACTGCAGTGCATCGTACGCCACCTTGGCGTCGAGCACCAAAAAGTGGCGCCACTTGCTCGCCCAGTGCTTCCATGCATGGAGCTCGAAGTCCTTCATCATGATCTCTGCCCACACCGCTCTGACATAGTCCCCATGCTCATAGGAGTAGCCGCCTGGGACAGCCGCCATAGGACATCAAACCGCCCGCTGCAGCTTTGAACGGGCACCTTCAAGTTTACCTGTCACGATCATGATCACAGGTTCTGCTTGGGCTTGGGAGTATCTGTTTTCAATAACTTCTGGGCCAGGCTTTAAAGGAATAATGACAAATCTTTTTTTCAGTATGTCACATGGCAGATTATCTCATTGCGGCTTTAGTTTTTGCTCGTCAGCCTTGGGTTCTTGTTGGACCATTCGCCCTACACGTCGGGGTCATAAACCCCACGTGAGTACGTGAGCAAGGAGCTTATTTTGCGAGCCATCAATAATGGCTGGCCAGCAAGCGCAGCGTGAGGCCAAGGACAAAATGTGGGAAGGTGAACTTGCCTGTCTACATTTTGGGTCTGCGAGCGAGGGTTGAGTGGCGAAGGCAAGGGTGTGGAAGACACACTTTACCCAGGTCCAGGAGCAAAGCACAAGGTCCTTGCCCTTGGCTTCTCTGGCCGTCTTCGAGGATTGCGCTCGAACCATGCATTCCCACACCTGCCTCCACCCGAGCGGCGTTGCAGAGGGTTCAGTCCGTCTTCGATCCACACTTGGTTGTCTCGCTTTGAATTTGGCGGGTATCGATGCGCAACCGACCAGAGTTGCATTACATATGAATTTTTTGTTCCGGCTGTTTGGGGGTTTGTTTTGTATCTGGGGTTTTGGTTTTGCATGGGGCTGATAACTTGACACAGGCTCATAACTTGACGCAGACTGATAACTTACAGGCACAGGCACGAGGCTAAAGTAGCATTGCCCGTGTGGCTGCTATGGTTACAGCCGGGCTGAAGGTAGCATTGCCCATGTGGCTGCGGACGTTAGAGAAAAGCAGAAGTAGCATTGCCCATGTGCATGTTATGGTTACAGCCATGCCTTGCAACAACACTACAGATAATGTGGTTACTGCAGCAGCATTGCCAATTTTTGTTAGTAACTAGTTTGTACTTAATCTCTACCCCCCAATCCACCGTTTAGTTTCTAACACCGTTTGGTTGCCTTGGCCGTCTCAAGAACCAAATCTTTTCCACCCCACTGGTCGCTGTCAGTCCGCCAGCCGGAAGAAAAAAACTCCTTCACGCTGGTCCATCACATCAAACACGTGTATTTGCACACCCCAAGGGTAGCCAGGGAATGGATCGAATTTTTCGCACAAGACGTAAAACACATCTTGTTCCCAACAACACACTCTTCGGTCATTATCGATCCCTGTCACATAAAAACTGTAAAGCCATCGCATCATACAGGCGACACTCTCGGAAGCGTCGTCCAAACAACACCAGGTAAACTCTAAGTCAGGGTCATCGACCCTACACTGACTCAAATTCTTCTCAGGGATGAAGGCGAACATGTATTTCTCGATCGGCAGCGATTCACCCATCCATTGCAGTCCTTGGGTTTTTCTTTTGTTTGTTGATAAGTTAGCTTTCAATACAAACGACAAAGCACGTATTCTTTGAAGCGAGAAGCCAACATACTTTTCAGCTCGTTTGTCAATGTCCATCCCTGTTCCTGTAGACCAGACCGGTTCGGTTGGGCCAACTTGGTACACACCTGGATCCAAAACTTTCTGAATGGTCAAAGTCAAAACGAAGCGATAGTCAGGTCCAAGTGCATTAGAGGTAGGTCTCCTTTTGTTGGAAACTTGAGCAAACCATCTTGTGTCAAGAAGCTGGACACAGTCGCTCAATTTTTTGGGGGGCTGGTGCCACGTACTGCATCCCAAAGTACAAATCCAAAAAGCTTGGATGGCAACTGCAATGCACCGACCCAAAAGATTATTGGGAAACAGGAGGTACCTATTGTATCCTATTGTCATGTATGTCATGTACTAGGTGGATGTTGGATGCAGTGCCAACCAAGGCCGGTTCGGCGAGGAGTGAACCAAGCGATCAAATCCACTTAGGGATTCTATGATGCTGGATCCTCTGGATCCTCTTCCATCTCTTCCTCTTCGGCGTCCTCCGGCGCAATCTCTCCCAGATCAGCCCCCTCATCCGCAGCATGTGTCGATTCGCGCTTCTCCTTGGCCGCCGATATCATGGTGGCCTCAAGATGAACAACATCTGGGTGCAATGATCTTGTGACAACAACATGAATACAAAACGTGGCAGCGTCAGTACCAAAACAAAAGATAACAAAACTATACGAAACCATGGGTGTTTGCCGATTTTGACTCCCTGCCTTCAAGCTTTCAGCAGCTTCGACATCACCATTGGTACGAACGAGTTCATCCCGGAGTGCAACCTCCAGCGATTCCAAAGCAACTTTGTTTGATATGTCTTGACATTTTATTCAGCAACTGTGCACATACACAGGGACACCAATCACTACAAGGCTAGGAACTGCAATTTCTTCACGGGTAGCTTCATCGATGCCCTCGCACTCCCGAGCTCTCAACTGAGGCCAGTAGTCGAGCGAATGGGCTGGTGTTGCAAAACCGTGGTTTTCAAATGCAAATCAAATGAGTATCTAATGTGTCAGTCCATACTTGGTTCAAGTGAGTCACGTAGAACTTTTCAATGCCATCGACCTTGAAACCGTAGCGCTGGTCTGCTTTGTAGTATGCCTTACCCACTTTGACTGGTGCATCCTTGCCGGCAGGTTTCTTGGAAACCTTTGCATTTGGCTCGACAACCTCTTCAGTCGCAGGACTGGCTCCCTTGGGAATCGGGGGCGCCGTGTTTGCAGCAGGTCGTTTCAGTGCCCCTTTAGCAGCAGTTTTTGCCTTGCCCTTGGGCTTGACCGGACTACCCTTCGCTTTGGCTGATCCTTTTGGCTTCGGTGTTGGTTTTGGTTTCGGAACAGCCATTTGTTGATCACGGGGGGCGGCACCATCATCGCTAAGGTCCTCCACAGATTTCAATACCATAGCTTGCACCAAACTATGGAACCCACGCATGTTTGCTTCAGATTGCAGCCCAAAAGCTTTGGCACAACCCAAAGATGGGCAACTTGCTACCGATATAAGATGATACGTAAGCACAAAACAACTTTGAGTGGGCTGCTAGCTTTGCAGAGTTTGATTTTTTGGCATCCAAGCGCTTGACAGCAATCTTCAAAATGGCTGTGTGACCCTTCAAGGCGACTTGGACTGCAACAAAACACAATGCGCCTAGATTCAAACAGCGGTTGTTTGTTCATATGCTTCCATGAGAGATCCCAAGTCCAGCCTTCCCTGCACACAAACCCCCACACGAAGCCGATTCGGCCGAAGTGCTACATCTAATGCTCTTAGTTCAAGCGGACAGCCTGACCTGCGTCTACGGTCAAGGTCCCCAACAAGTAAAATTTTGGTTTCAGCGGCGTCATCACCGCAGGAGCCTCATCGCCGACAGAGACCTGTCCGAAGCCAGGGCCCCGTGCTGTGGAAGGAAGCAGGGAAGGGCCTAGAAGGGTGGCCATATCATATATCACTGAAAGCATTTTAAACGTATCCCCTCAAAGACTTTGGGATTTGGGAAGCGTTCATGCATTACATGTCCATTGACCTGGCCTCCCAAACCAGGCGAACCCAATCAGACTGGGGCAGGTTGTTGTACTTACCCTTGAAGATTGCGCCCAACATGGCGCTTCGCATTCCCACCCTGGACATGCTGGCATCCAACTCCTTTGGCTTGTAGGCGTTGATTGCATCTTGCGGGGTAATTCGATATCTGTAATGGAGAGCTCGTTGTTGCCCGTCAGGCTGAACCTGCGGGTGGCCCAAACAGTGTCGTTTGAACATGGAACATTGAAGTGAACATCAAATATGTTCCAGACCAAAACTTTTTCTGGAGCACTGCATGGCCTTTACCAATGGAGCCAAGTCGTGGTCCACCACTCGTGTTTCGGTGACGCCTCTCAACCGGGTGATCGAGCACATTGTTTCTGCCACTGACTGGATGGTTTTGCTCGTCTTGTCGCCTTCGCTCTTGACGCAGCAAACCAAGGCCCTGTCATCGGCTAAGTGCCAAGGCAAGTAGTCGGTGGCGGATGGTGCACTTCCTGTGGCGCACAAGGTTCTTGTTTCATAGTTTTCCCATCATTAAATATTCTGAAGGTTCAAAATTTTTGCAATGACCCACAAACATGTCTTTTGAACACAGTTTGAGTACCACATAGCCTGCAGGGATCTCCACATAGCTCCCTGTGTTGAAGCCAAACAGTTCACCAGCGTCGATGGTGATTTGCTCTGTTCCGCGGTTGACAACCCACAGGTGTGACATGGTGGTGAACACAATCTCGAGCTTGTTCTCCCGCGCCAGTGTAGCCGAAGCTTCAATCCTGATTGGGTTTCAAGAGAACCGACGGGCGCAACACGTTTTAATTCATAGGTTGGGGGCCTGGACCTGAAACGCTTGTCAAAGGAAACACAATTTGCTTTAATGAAAACGAGACACGTGTTCCCCGAATCAAAGTCAGCCACATGAGTCCCAGAACAAGTCATTCGCTTCCGAAAATTCCACGGGAACTCACCATTCCATTCTGGGTTGGCTGCAGTGCGGGCTGCGTTTGCTGTGGACTCATCGCGTTGAGATGCACCACCGCAACTCTTCAAAGCGTTAATGATCAGTGTCTCTTCAAGCAGCCTGTCAGCCATTCTCTTGAGCGGCTCCTCATAGCTGTGCAGAAACTTGTCGCGAACCATATCAGGAATCCTGGGCAATTGGCTTCACAGTTGTTGGATTGACTAACTGACAAACAAACAATCTTATGGAAGAAACATGAAACCCTACAAAAAGTAAATCTGGGTTACCATGGCTACCAAATCACAATGCTGATTTGGAAAAAACACAGTGCTGAATCTTTCCAGAGATTCAACAGAGTACCTGTTCCCACAGTAGCACTCAGAACCTCCAAAGAGGGAGGGTCTTGCTGGAAGCGGACATTCTCCCGACTCCTAGGGCCGGCTTCGTCCGACTTGTCCCACCATTGGTCCATAGCCCGGCCCACACGCAAGTCCTGCGCTGCTTTCAGGAAGCTGGCTTCGTCGTTCTGGTACACTGCCAGGAATCTCAGGTCGATCGATTGGTCGGTGCCAAGCAAGTAGTCCCTTTGGATCTCCCAGCACGCAGAGCTCCACTCTGAAAACCTCCCAAGCAAAGCAATGTGGCTGGGGTCTCGCATGATGAGGAGTTGGTGCATCATTCTAACAAACAAACCTTCAAGGAATGTATGTGAGGAGTTGGCACCCCATCCTAACAAACCTTCTTGGAATGTATGTGAGATAGCTTTTGACCCCACGCCTGGACGGCAACAAATCCACCACCAGCACGGGTACATTTGGTTCAGTCATACCATCGAGCAATCCCAGCAAAATGCTCTTGGTCGCACCGATGCCGCGTTGTTGGACCTTGGGCGCCAATAGGATACAAGCGTAATAAATCTATTGAGAAAATTGTTTTGGCAACCTGTCCCAGCCAACCAAAATATGTTTCATTCTATGGCAAGAGACTCGCCAGTGTGGCGCGAGGGGCTTTTCGGGCTCAGGGTTCTGTAGTTCATTGACTCTGGAACGTTCGATGCTGCAGATAGATCCCAAGAGTGCTTTCGAGCGAGCCCACGGGTGCTGGTTGCCACTCACCCCAACCATGGCGGCCAGACCTAGGGTTTGCACAGACATGGAAAGTCCAATGGAAAGGTTCAACCCAATAAAAGCATTGCTTAGTTTAGACCGGCCGAGGTTTCCGAACCCTCTACCAGCGGAAAAGAAAGTTTTGGAGCGACCATTTCTGCTCAAAGGACACTGTTGACTCTTCTTCCTCCTGTCCCCTCCATGCTGTGCGTCGTTGAAATTCACCGACACCTCGTAGACGTCCATGCAACTTAGTGCGGACTTGACTTGTGTTGATGCCAGCATTGCAATGAAATGGCCAGTGTTTTCTCCCAAGAGAGGCTCAAATTCCACAGAACTGGGTGCCTGAGGGCGTTTGAATGTTCATAAGATACAGTTTGTTTTTGTCACCGCTCTTGGTCAGGGAAGGAAAACATGGTGTATTCGGTATATGTATGCTCCTTTAGACCTTTGCAATTCTTGCGGTCGAGAATCCCAACCACCTTATCTTCTAATAGCCGTCTGTTCTTGAGCACTGTGCACTTTCCCGTTGAAGAATGCCACTGTGGCAGCATGAACCAACATAAGGTTCTTTGGTTTCCTGACGACACGCTCGATGCCAGGCTCACAGCTTCGTCCACCGACAAAGCGCCTGACAGATGGCACCATGTCTCTAACAGCTTCATACGGGATGGCATGGATCCAACGGATTGAAACTTTCAAGCCACGGCGCGGTTGGGCCATAGTGTGGCATCAAACACCAAGATGGTCAGTCTTAGTTCCAGGGTAATAGGTTGTGTGACAAAAGAGTCCAGGTAGTTTTCAAGCTTGCGAATGAAGCAAACTGCTAGATGCCAAGAAACCCTGAAGACCCCAAAGAACCCTGCATAGACACCACTGCTGGATGTGCCATCATGATGGAATCAAAGGATTGTAGGACATGTTTCTCTGTGTGGAAAGCCGCGACTTTGGCTTTGCCTCGCATGTATCGATCGTTCAGGAACTTGAAGTCCATCATGGCCTCAAACCAATTGGATACAGCGACGTACAGCTTACAACACACCATCATCAAGTCATAGCATTCGGACGTGGTTTCTTCTTTGCAAAATCATGGGCCTGTTGTTGGCTGAACAATTCGAATGCTTGGGACCATTCACGGAGTTTCTTCAGATCAGCTTCGAAGTTAAGCTCGGTCTGGCCCCAGGTCGCTTGGAGAAGTTGCTCCGAGAGCCTTAGGCCAGATTTGCTGTGGACCGTGGAAACTGGACAGCGTTGAAAACATCCTCAAACAGGTTCAGCATAAAACAATATGTGGTCGGCTCAATAGAACATTGAAGAGCGAGGAACTCAGCAGCGCGAAGACTGTTCTTCTTGTCCAACTGCGCAAGCGACAAGATACTGAATAAAGTTCAAGTTTTGTTTTTTCTGGATTTCTGACAAACATTGTTCTGGAAGCGCTATGGAGATGTGAGGGTGGGGAAGGCACCTCGGTGTGGTACTTGGAGAGATGGCTTTGGAAGATCATGATCTTGCTGACATCCAGTGGGGGGACCGTCTCATTAAGCAAGGCTTGCAAGTCTGCGTCGGCGTGTCTGTGCATGAACCTGGGCCGAGGAATCAAGACCTGCATATAGGTGTGTTTGATATGCTGTTGAATGTGGATTCGATATGATTCGATAACAAACTCTCTGATACCTCGATGTAGGCAAGATGCGCCTTCTTGATCTCTGGGAGGGTTTTGTCTGCGAACTCCTTTGGCACCAGCTCATGGTATCGTGCGCATGCCGCAATGAAGGCCCCACAGACCTTCTGCAAGCCCTCCTCAGTGGATGAGGCATTGGGTGGAACCGCTGTCATGTGGTTGGGGCGAAACACATAGTTTTATGAGATTGTTCTGGACCATGTGAAACATTACTTTGAACCTAGTCGCCACTTCCTTGGACCAGGGCTTACGCATTCTCACTGAGAGGGACACATAGTCGCTTTCCATGCGGTCCACGAGAAGGTGAATGAGTTCATCAGTGTTTGTCAACACTTTTGACCAGGGCTGTAGGTTGCCCACCCCAGTGCTATGACTGGTGTTGAAGAGCTTCTGGGCCAAGGGCTCGTGAACCAGGAATTTGGGTTGCGTGAAGCGACTGGCAGCAGGGATTCAGATTTGGAAGAATCAACCCAAACGTGGATATGGTATGCTTTCAAGGACTTGTTTAACACATATGCTGGCCTTACCAGCTCAACCAACTTCTTCTTCGCAGTTTCAGGCACATATCGAAGTAGGTTTACAGCGGCAGCGCTCTCAGTCTGTCCAAGATTGTAAGCTTGGGCAAACTGAGATACGGATTCATAGGCCTGCTGCGGCGCATGCCAGGAGGGGTTGGGAGGGGTTAGCGGGTGGATTTAGGTTGTTTGGCGTCCTCTAGATTACCCTTTCTTCATGAGCAGTTTTAACAGCTCAGCGACGAAACATGTAGCTACAGTAAGAAGTGTGAAGTCACAGCAAACCCGCACGCCTGAAGAGCAGCAACGCTGTGCTCTTTTGACAACCCAGTCCGACACAAAAATTCAAGCTGGTAAAGGAGGTTGAATGCGTTTGGACGCCGTCGGATTCCAGCACCCAATGTCACTCCTGGCAGGAAATCAATTGCGCAGTCACACACTGGATATTGGACATCCAGACCTCTGTTTGTGTCCACGGCTTTCTGACTATCTGCGGCAACCATTGTGATGAAGATAGAACTGAAGGTCCTTGAAAACCCAAGAACAAAATGCAGCTGATTCCAGCTGCCAATTGTTGATTTCTCTAAACACGTCGAATTGGAAACCTATGAAGGAAAGCTGAGGCGAGCAACGATTTGATGTCGGCGGGCAGTGCCTCCCAAGATCTCCCAAGTCCAACCAAAACACAAACTGCTTGTTTTCACTTGGTGTGGCCTTCAAAATCTCCTCATTCTTGTAGCACCCGAAGAGCACCAGGAGACAGCAACACGATCTGTTCCACCCTTTGACCATAAAGATCTTTTCTGGCCCCAAAGTATTTGGGTCCATGCTCAAGTCATGTTCGACGTCAAAGGCTCGACAAGGCTCATTGAGCCATGCGGGGTTGAGAAAGGTCCCACAAACTTTCTCACATCCGGGCAAATCGGGATTTGTCAACATCCCGTTCAGCAGTATCAACTGCGCCAACTGCCGCTGTACCTCCTGAAGAAACTGTTCAAACAGTTTCGAATACTTACAATCGAACAATCTAGAAACCCTTGCTCCAGCAAAACCACAAAAAAGAAAACACTTCCACAGCGCAGTCATGATCGGACGTTCCACGAAGTCCATAGAAGGTTGGTTGCAAAGCTGGCCATATGAGGAACTACTATGTTGCCGATGGCCGAGAGACGATCCTTAAAATCTGGGCCCGATTTCTCCGCAAGCCAGTCGCACAGTGCAGGTGTCTGCGACATGTGCATCCAAGGCCTGGTGGAGTGTTCCTTCAGCTGTGTCTCTGTCAGCAGGGTGTGGTCCTGGTCAAGGGCAGTGGTGGTATTGAACAAAACATGATGTGGGACAAAGAAAATTCACATGTTACTTCGTGAACCCCTGTGTGCCTGGAAGAGATTGAATGTGGGTTTCGACAGGAGGAAGAATACCCGTTCGCGCCAGATCTGGGCCAATTCAAATGATGATGCACACTGCAAACACTTTGGGGTTTTGCAATGACTTTTTTGAATGGGAATTGAACTGAGGTTTGAACTGGCGCACCGATCATGTGTCCATTGACTGTTGCGTACACACAGATCAAGCCACGCTTCTTGGCCTCCTATCCAAACTCACATGGGAAAAGTGTTTAAAGGGAACCCTGAAATATGCACCTGAAAGATGTAGTCAAGCACATGACGATGCTTTGGGTGCAACACGGCGCTGACATTCTCCAAAATCAAGAAGTTCCTAACGTTGCTGAGCAATGACAGGAGCCCAAACGTTTAGAGTCACCATCTACTCCGAAAAGTGCAACAATAAGTTTGAGTAAAGCTTCGGAGTGTGCCGCTGTTCGTCATAGAGACGAAACACGTGTTTCACCAGTCCAGTCCTCCTGTCTTCAAGCCCCAAACCATGGCCTGCCTTGCAAATCCCTTGACATGGGAATCCAGCGAGAATCCCATCCACATCCTGGTCCAGGTGTGCTGTTTCCACATCACTATAGATGGGCCCTTTGTCTGCTAGGCCATCGTGTTGCCGTTGCAAAATCAGGGACCGGCACTACGGGTTGCTCTCCACCTTGGCCAGTTTGGAGGCGAAGAAGTAGGTGTGATATCATTTTTGGTTTCTACAAGTAGCTTTGACATTGGTTTCTAGCTTTGACATCAGCTTTGTAACTTTCCAAGTCCCTGGCATAGCAAGCACTGGTGCATAGACTGGGCGAAAGCATTGCGAAAGACTGTTGGTGAGTGGATTGGAATGCACTGAACAGAACTTAGGACCAAACTTCCGCAATCCCAATTCCAGGCCAAGCACGCCCGAAAATAGTGAGGCGACCTTGAACTTGGGCCCCGTCTCCTGTAAAGGTGGAGGCATGTCCAAATGAGAACGGAAGGTTTCAAGCGTCCTTGAACATCCAGGGATATATGAAGTGGATTATATCCACCACAGCGTTGGGTGATGGGTCCGTCCACCCTTGAGGAAGGCCTCCAAGTTGAATTGACCAAATCTTGACCATTCATATAGATGTTTTTCACTGGGCCTGCGAAGGACTCCCCTATCTCAGGGGTTGCGAAAATGCCCCGTGGCTGGTTGGCTTGTTTGCAAGCACGGATGTAGTCTTCCCAATGGTAAACCTGGTTGGCAAAATCCTGCAGGGCGATAAGTCTCTAGACAATTCTGAAACAGGTTTGAATGACAAAATGAAATCAGACCGGTCCATTGCACCGCGCTTCGATAAATATTTTGGGTTCGCACGCTGCGTTGCGCCGAACAGGCCTGAATGCGATGATTGGAAAGCTCTTCATCGCAATGGAGGCTGGAGCGATTATTGATTGAGTTCAGGGCGGATTGTTCCCCATGTGTGTACTGTGAACTTCTCCTTTAGGATCATGCCCTTTTTGGGTAAAGGCACGTTCTTCTTTGGTTTCTCAGGCACCTCAAGCAACTTTACCAATACGATAAATCACTCATTATTGCAGTATCTCTTCCAAATAACTGTTGCAACCAAACAGCCAACACGATGTCAGGAGCATTACGTGGGAGCTGCGGCATGAAAGACAGGGTGTGACCACGCAGCTCTCCGTCGAAGATGCCCCATTTGGGAACCTGCCAACGACAAACTTCATAGTTGTTCAAAAAGAACCATCAAGCTGTTGTGGAGCTGTTTTTTGTACCAATTCACTTGTGTAGTCACTAGGCAAAAACATCATTCACGCGGGCCTTATCTTCTAGAGACAGCTGCCTGAGGAAATCATTCGTTTATGAAGCGGTGTGGCAGTAGTCAGTAGTGATACTGGAGAGCCCGGCCCCTGGTCAACCGTCTCGCCCATCTCGACCATCTCATCACTTAGCACGGGAGCAAGGAGCAAGCGGACTCAATCCCATTGTAAGTGGACCCCTGACAGGGACCCTGACTCACTCAACTCATTCACAGAGCTGACGACCGGCATTGTGGCCCACCCTGACTACCTGCCTCCTTTGCCGTCCCTGAAAAAGCCAGCGCAATTCATATGGGATGTGAATGCAAATCAGCTTCAGGTGTTTGCTGGTGTCCAAAAACATGTTGTTTTCACGTTCCGAAACACGAGTTCTGATACTAAAGAAATGGCTATCACTTGGATATGAAACCTGCATTAAGATCATTAAGCCCAACTGGTCGACAACAATATGTGGTGGGGCGATTCTGTTGCGTTAGAGAAATAATCCAAGTGAAGGCCTTTCAGCATCACTCACGGCCCAACGGTCTCAGAAACTAAGCAAACCCGAACTCCAAACCATTGCCAGGGCCATTGCCTGAAGTGAGGGGCTGAGGGCAGCGGCAAGAGCCCTGGGATTGGGTGATGTGGACGTGGTATCTGGTTACTTGACCATTATGGCTTGCCATGTCATGTCCACCCATGATTCCACATTCATTCTACATTCATGTGGTGCCACGCTGCTGCGATTACACCCAACCCATCCGGCCTCGCTGAAAGATGCAGATTGTGTCACCAGCTTGGTTCCGGCCTTTGGCGCTGGCGCTGTGGTCAGACACCCAACTGGATCAAACCCCTCTTGGGACATGTTTTCTTCAATCATTTGCGCGTGTGTCATGAACACGTTCAAAACACTTGTCTTTGGTTCTGGTTCACGTTGGAACACATGGTTGAAGTCTGAGGATCAGGCATTAAAGGCAGTGGTTTGGCAAAGCCCCAAAAGAAGGTCCAATTAGCATCAAAACCTATCCCCATCCTGGCGGCCCTGAGTAGTGCAATACACATCTTTGGCATCCCTCAGTACAGTCAGGAAATCTACATTGCACTTGTTTTGACCTTGGTACTGACGGCTTGCTTCAGAAAGCACGGTGTAGACCAGTTCCAATCGACCAACAGGGCATTTGCTCTCTGTGTCCAACAAGAAATTGGTCACCTCAGTGCACACTCTGCTGACCCCAACTGGATGCCATGAGTGACAGTGGCCCGAACCTCAAAGAGAACCGTCGAGAGGAAAGCTTTCCTCTCCAATAGCGCAGCCTGATTTCCCATGTTTTCGAAAAAATTGGAACATTGTTCTCCAACTAGGCGCAGACCACATCATCTGGTTCACTGGGAGTATCCAGGTCGATATCCTCACAATCCACGAAAATCCACTGTCACCCTATAGAACTGCAAGTTTCTTTTTCAGTCCTCCTCATCGGTGCTGATGAAATCCAATACGACGGGAGCCTGGCTGGGGCTGTGAAGCGCTTGCGGCGTTGGGAGCCCATGGTTGTTGAGACCCCCACAACAGCAGCACGAGCCGCAGGCCCGTTCTGAACAAATG